CACCGAGGGAGCCCTGCTTCTTTCACTGCAGACCAACACACTGCTTCTAATCATATCATTCATCAAAATATGTCACCCATATATTGAAGGATCATTTATGTTGTGAATCATCTCTCTAGCATTTGCTTTGTGGGTTTTGAACACAACTGGTCACTTATGCAGTGTCTAACCCTAACCCATTCCAGTTACTATTTCATTACAATTTTGTTTGTTTGTTTGTTTTTTGAATATTATCATTATCATTATTGATATCATTATCACAATTATCATTATTGTTATCATTATTATGATTTTTATGTACTGTTTTTATTATAACTGTGATCATTATCAGTGATTATAAAGTTAGCTTCCATCCTTTGGGCTGTCTGCTCCAGGGTTGGCCACTGGGGTTCGGGGGCCATTGGGAGGCCAACAGGGTGGGGCCCCAACCTCTCCTCTGTGCTCCATCACGCCTATTGATTGCAAACTAATTATATTTTATTCATTTGAATCTTTTTTAATGTCTTTCTTTCTATAGTTTTTTTTTTCTTCATGTCATTAAGAAAGCTTAAAACAGTAAGTAGTAAAACTCTGTAATAACACATTGATTAACAGATGACCATAATTGATAATTGATTGATAAAACCTACAGTTATCACTACATTTTGTATGTGAAGTGTGCATACTGGTTTTCAATGACAATTTAACAACTTCACTTTCTCTTACTTAAAATTTTGGAGTTTACAGATGGAACCACAAACTGCTACTTACTAACTAGTTTTAATTGACCTTTTCTTCTCAGAGATAAATCATTTAAAGCATAATCATAGGTTCAGGTTTGCTACATATCTGCAAAGATATAAAGATAAACTTGAAAAATTGAAAAAAATGTTGAGAATTCATATGCATGTTTAAGGCAAACTAACATGGAATTTAGACATTGAAGTAGTGTTGTTAAAATCTCTGCTAAACATACCTTTAAAATGCATAATATCTGGCCATAAAACTGTGCTTGGCGTTTTTAATCAGCCTTTGTTTTTGTCATATGTTAAACCTGTCTGGACAAGCAGATCATTGATGGAACATTTTTCAACAATCCAGGAAAATGAGAAGTGCCAAGTCTTAGCTCTTCTTCTGAACAGTGATTTCAGTTTTACCCGTCTGGATAAGCTGATCCTCTTTGGATGCTAACAGTTTAGCCATCCTGTGTGCGCTAAGACTGACGAATCTCTCTTTTTAATGTTTTTTTTTCTCTTTTTTCGGTTTGCTGGGTGGATGGGTTTAAAAACAAAGATGAATTCTTGTACACTGACATTTTTATTATACACTAAAAGACACATTTTTACTCAGGCAAACATTTAAGCAATAAGTATGAAAGTTATTGCTTACAAGAAGTGAAAAAACCTGAGTGACAAAGGCACTTTTGCGGCTTTAGCCAGAAAACCTGTTACATCCAAGATGTGTACACTGACTCTCTAAAACAAACTTGTAATTGACAACCTGCATCAGCTCTGTTTATTAGTGTGAAGACAAATGTCTTAAGATGGCTTTTCACGAACCTGAGGCGCCTGACGTGTTGTCGTTATTTCCCTGTTGGCCCTAAAAGGCAAACCCTAATTGGATTACTTCAGCACAAATTGGCAGATCTGAAGGCAGTCAGTGCAGCAACCTTTACTGTACAGACATCAAACAAAGACAAAGAGCGTTAAAAGAAAAAAAAAATGCAGGTTACCCTCAGGCTTTTAAAGCTTTCACCAGGTAAACCCTGAAAGGATGAGATTTAGGTAATTAAGACTCAATCAATTCCAGGCACGCAGCATTTTCACAGCAGGAGAGCAGTCCATGAATCAGTTCTATCTGTTGGGAGGCCGTCAGCTTGGAGAATGTAATCAAAATACCTCTAGCAGGAAGTAGTTCTGGAGACCAAGCTAGAAAGGGGCATGTGCTGTTATTGTAGACAATATTTGTTGTATTAGTTTTTAGGCTACATTGACACAGCAGGCAGTACAACTCAAATCCAAATTTTTTTCTGAAATACAACCCATATCTGACGTTTTTACGGCACTTTAACTCTTTTCATCTGCAAAAAAATCTGATCTGTGCCACTTCCACATGTGATACTAAGTCGGACACATATCCAGTAGTTTTCAAAGCTTCTGCAGTTTGAACGGTCCTGTTGGATTTTATTGAACTTTTATGTCATGATGTAACTCTGCACCAGAAACAGGCAGAAGCCACTTTAGGCTCAGACTACGCATCCAAACAGATTTCTCAATAGAAGTTGCAGTCAATGCTCCACAAAAGGCCGTTGCTATTTCCTTTTGTATTAGCTTCCTTTGACTATGATTTTGTGAACATGATGTTTGTGGATCATTATGTTCAACTACCTGGAAAGGGTGTATTCAGTCACATGACTTGGCATAGCGATGCCACTTTTGCTGTGGAAATCCCGTTTGGAACTCCTTTAGAAATCATCTCCAGAATTTTATATTTCCCTGCTTTTGTATATCAACCATAACATTTGCGTTTCTAGAAAAATCGTGGCAGAAATATACACTTCCTTTATCTCTATTGGTATTGGCCCTAATACACCGTGGTATAATTGTTAAAGGCCCAAAAGAGCCATTAATTTTCGATCAGTTCGATCTGTTCCATGAATTGCTGCTCTGTTCAGAAAGTTGTTTTATGTGCAAGTTTGCATCCAAATAATAAATAAATCTCCTTGTGATTATCACATTATGATGTAATTATATTTTTTGTTTTTGATGGTAAACAATACATGGATATGATTTTTATATAGAACAAAAATCACGTCAGTTTGGTAAATCAATAGATGGTTAATATGTAAATGGGCCCCAAGTAAAAAAGAAAAAGGTTAAGAACCTCTGTGCTATATAATCTGCACCCATAGTTGACTCTTTTTCTTAGAATTACATAACAAAACAAACAAAAAAAAGCAGATGTAATCTCTAAATGCTAATAAAGATGAAAATACCTTGAACACACAGGCTCTTGATGCTGATCCAGTGGTCAGCATTCTTACTTAAATCCAGATCTATAATAGTGTTAAATGTTTGCACAGAATAAATCACTACTATGATTTATTCTGTTTGAAACATCTTGGGAAAGAACATAAAACCAATATGGATGTGGCATTAAATGGATATTAGGTTCTTATTTGAAGCAACCCTGATCAAATATAAAAGATTTATATCTCCCATCTTATTTTATAATTCTTCCTGTAAGTGCACTCTGTTTACATCAAACATTTAGGTTTATACTAAGGAATAAATGATAAAACACACACTAAATATCTTTGAATATTTCATAGACTTTAAATGTGAAACAAAGCTTGCTTTGCTCCCTAGTTATTTTATGTTGCGCTAACCCAAACTGGTATTGATCTTCTCATTTAACTCTCGGAGAGAAAGCAAATACCTTGCATCGTATTATTTGATTCAGGCAATGTCTGCCTTTAGCTTGGGACTAAACAATGATGAATACATACTGCAGGGAGGAAAAACGTTTTCATTCCACTGCCAGAAAATGAGCTAAACCGTTCTAATCAAGGCAAATTACGCGTTAGTCTCCAGACGGCGACACTCGACAGGCCTGATCAAAACAACATAATGGGGGAAAAATACGTTTTTAGTGAGCAACAGAAGATCTGAACAGAAGATCTGAAAAGAAACTCAGAGGTCATTTCTGTTCTGTGTTGCAATTTTCTTAATGTTTAAAGGAGATCTGGAAAGTCAACACTCATTTCTGAACTTTTGCCACTTTTAATGTGACATCAATTCTTAACACTAACAGAAATAAAACTGATAGAAAAACAGCATAAACTGCAATAACACAGTTGTATAATTGTGCAGTTAAAATTAAACTACAGCATTTGCTTGTAGGAGTTGGCAGGAGTCCACAGGTCGGCTTCGACAATATTTGGTCCTTCTATTCAGAAAACGTTCCGTTAGATTGTGACGACTTGTCTTGTCTGCAGCCACATTTAAAAACTCTTCTTACCAAATATTCTTTGGTCTCATTCCCAGGGCAAATGTCTTAGTACATTTGAAAACAGACAAAACTAACTTACAAGTTTTTTTTGCAAGATATGGAATCCTGTTTTCAGTCAATAATTCCTTAATGTTGAATAAAATACTGGCAGATTTGTTTCACTAACAAGACTTTTTCCCAGGTGTTAAGTGAAATAATCTGCGAGTGGAGCTAATTCTTTGCCACTGGTTGGCAGGTCAATCCAAAATGATACTGACACTAGTGTAAGATTGATACTTTAGTTTCAGATTCTCTGTTCAAATGTTATTTTATTTTTGGATTGAAGTATGTCAACACAACTTCAAAAAAGATTTCTTTATGTGCTCTCAAATTATTTTTCACTCTTCATTTAGGAAAAAATGTGGAAAAATTTGCTTCATTTTACAGTTTGTCATGTTAAAATGTTAGCATTTTATAGACACCTAAAAGCCTTTTGCAGATTCTACAGTAGAGCTTGACATAATAATTCTAAATAAATATCACAATATGACACGAGATCAAAAGTTTGAGAACATATCACAGTTAAATAATTAAGTATCAATATCTGTATCAGTATTGGTGATACTGGCTCTGTTTTTACTTGATATCAGAACAATGCCAAGATATACAACATGCTGCATCTCTGCTGTTTATATATATTTTGTAATTTGTTTTTCACTTGAATTGCTAAGGGGAAGCCATGTATTTTAACACAGTATGAATACTTTTCAGGGCCAATAACTGTAAAAATATCACACAAGTAGTTCAGGAAAAAGCTCTTTTTTATGATGTACACCGTTTTGCCCACAGCCTTCAAAACCAAACTTATGTTTGTCGATACAGGAAAAAGATATACAGCACATAGATAATATAAATGCTTCTTGACCTTTTGATTTCCTATATCTGAATAGAAACAAGTTGGTTCAGGTGAGTTTTTTCTCAGAGGGAATGAGTCGTTTCTGTTTAACTGTGATGAAAACAGAGAATTTTACCTCCAGAATGAGGGGGGGGTCCACACAGCAGAACCACTCCTTGACCTTCCCGTACTGAGACAGAACTTCTTCTGTGAGTCTTGAAGTTCTCCAAGTCTGAAAAATATCAATGAAAAAAAATAACAGCAGTTAAGAAAAACAGCCCATCAAGAAAGAGCTCAATAACTTTGAAACATCGTTTTAACCTTTATTGAAAGTCACAATACACAACATTTTGCAAGTGTATTCATACCAGTATTGTCACACCACTCCAACACACTGACATGCTTTGATCTCAGAGCCAACACACTCTCAGAATTTATTGTTCTAGTTCTCCAGCTGGAAGAGAGAAACTGATTCTCTAACAGCTGCAGCTTCACACAGCAAAAACTGACGATATTGAGAAGTTTCTTTTGTTCTGCTAGTGATTGAGGTGTTTATAAGCGAGCCTTCAGTGGAGGCAAATTAAAAATTCTGGGGGTTGCAGAGAGCCGCTGGTGTTGCCGTAGGTCACATTGTCCTCTTATCCAATATTCCAGACTCACTGCAGGGATTCCAAAAGGATCAGAAGTGAGACAAATTGGGAGCCAATAGAGACATCTGCAGAGACACGGGAATAACTGAAGGTCTTATGGAAAACGGATCAGGTGGTGTTGTCACGACTGGGCAGCTCAAATCCTACTTAGAAAATCTGCTTAAACATATCTAAAACATTGTCGGAGAATTTTTATTATTAATAATATTAAATTATTTTGGACACCACTGTTTATGGAATAAAAATCTTCCAATGAAAAATCTCAGGTAGACACAAAGGATTCTTTTTTTTTTTTCTCTAAAGAAGTTAATATATTGTGGAGAAGGTAAAATACTTGTATTTTGGAGAGAAGCTGCTTTTTATTTATCTATGAATGTTTCCATGTACGTCTGGGAACACCAGAGCACAAACTGCTCTACGCCTCCTCCTGGCATCCACTGAAAAACACCTGAAGACGGCAGAGAGACATTATGGTCCCCCAACTTATTAGTTTTCACAAAAAGACCATATTTTATTTATAATTGTGTTAACAAACTTTGTTTTGTTAATAGATTGATTGATTATAATTATTAATAGTTTTTGATAACTAATTAAATCATTCTTGCCCAACCACAGTCACTGACTCTACCGTTCTCCCCTGAACTCCAGATACATGAATTTAAGTGAAACTGAAGGCGTCTCAATGTGCTTTAAATATTAATCTTGTTGTGACTGCTCTTCATATTAAATCTTATTAAATTTATTTTTTCCCATCTTTCTGCTTTTTTCTCAGGCATACGGGTTTGAGGCTCACTATGTTCATCAGTCAGAGAGGAGTAATTAGTTAATCCTTCAACCGTCCAAACCGATCACAGAGGAAGAGTGTGTGATGCGATGATGTCATTTTAAAAACAGCCTGGGTGGAACCTGCACTTTTGCCGCATTTTGTGTTTCCACTTCATTTAAAGCAGAGGGAGTTCTGCACCATTTGCAGGATTTTATTTGCCTCAGATGGCCAGTGTTTTAACAATATAAGCACAAACTGAAAAGGCTCATTAAAACGGATGGACAAACTGGCACTTATTGTTTGCCTACAGGCACTTTAGATGCTCCCCGATGCCAGAACATCCTCCCTATAGTTCTTACCCGATGTGAGCAGTATGTAATGCCTCGCCTCTGTAATTATTCAGATGGAAATATGGACAGTGCGTAACAGAGAAAACACAATTTGAACCTGTCAGGTGGCTCAGAGTGAAGAGAAACATTTGAGCAAGGAGGGAGGGTGTAAAATGTGGAGAGACCGACGCTGCGGCCCGTTCCCTGCCTCAGCGACTGTATGAATAATAAATCTGAGCCCAGCGTGAGCAAAACACATGGAGAAAAAAAACACAACATGGAAATCAATAGTGACACACACCCACTAATATGAGCCAAACAGCAATCTGCCGCCTCTCTGCTAAGCAGAGATGGCTGCTGAGGCAAGTCACACATGAGAGATTTTAATAGCTCCGCTGGTAATCAGGTTACCTTTCATTCATCACGCCCACCAGCTCTGAACATTACAGAGCTGTTCCCGCCATGGTCCTGATACCCAAAGTGCTGTTAAACTGAGCTAATTTTCTTTTGACAATTGATGGCAGCAGCAGGTCAGAAACACTTTGGGTGGACGCGCGTTGAGCTCAGCAAATGTAACCATCAGAGTTACATGAAGGCCCGAGCAGGGTTCCTTCAATTTTTAACAATGTAAAGATATTTTACAGTGCCGCGAAAAAACCTGAACTTTGTAATATTTTGTCCTACTTTGTTAGAACAAACTTTAATGCAAAAAATTTACCTTTTCTTTTTTTTTTTTTTACAAAAAAAAAAATCTAAATACTTAGCCTCCGTTAAGATCATACACCTACATAAAATCCTTTAAACTATCGCTATATTCACACAGCAGGTCTTGATCCTCAGTTCCATTTTTTTTTTTTTTTTGCCTGGTTGTTAATACTACTAGTACTAATTAAACCTGACTGCAGCGCATTGTCTGTGTGAAAGGTTTATGACACCAAAGCGGCCCGCATGCACAGGAGACAAATGTTGATGTCACAGCAGCTCTTTGTTTACAGAAGTATTAATGAACGATTAATGGATCCATTTTAAAGTTCATTCAGCAGTGAGAGTCAACAGGACCATCATAAGATCATAACAAGACACAGTTAGCTAAGAAAGAGAAAGCACAACTAACACTGGCATTTTGTGAAGCGCTGACTGCAACTTCTGTAGAGAAGTCTGTGAGGATGTGAAGTCAGAGCTCAGTGTGGTGGGATTGTGGAGTGATGCGCTTCAGTGACACAGATTTCTTTAATAATTTCATAATCAAAATTTTCAGCCATTGTTTACATCCTAATTTTCACGCATCTGGCTTCTTTTAATGCAGAATTACGACGAATGTCTCACATCAATGAGATAAAAGTCAGAAACATATCTGGTTTAGTTTCACATATGGAAGTGGCAAAAATCAGATTTTGGGGGGTTGAAAAGCTCAGAATTGGGCCTTTCAGTCTCCGGTGGAAAAGTTAATGTGTGTTGCATTTGCAGGCTGGGTGAACCTGATCTGTTTGTCTTCAGAAGTCAACTATTCAGATGATTTTTGTATTTTGTGGTGTAAAAAAAGTAACTTCCTGAAATATTTGTCAAGTTCTAAACATTCGGCTTTGGTCTGGATCTTGGAAGGACCGATCTTAATATTCCCATTTTTAATGTCAAGTTTTTAATAAGTATAAGTGGAATAATGATCATAATTAACAGAAATAAAATCTTTTGACCATGTGAGGGTAATTAATCTATAAAATGTGTTGTAATAAGTGATAACGTTACTGAAAAAAAGTACTTTACATTACTATTCTTATTTATTATTATTATTTTTTATTTATTTATTTTTTTCAATGTATATTTATAAGCTACTAAAATAACAATAAAAAAAATAGAAGTTATTTGTAAATATTAAAAAATGCAAAGAGCGTGAATGTTTGGAGAGTACATGAAATGTTTCAGCGATACTTGCTGGTTATTTTTAGCTCTTGCCTGTTAGCCTAATGCATTTTACTGCAGCACATCAACCAGGATCCAAATGTTATTTTTAACTAAGAAGCCTGACAGACAGCCTGTTAATTAATCCGCAAAGACAGGTGACACAATGCCTCAAATTTATCCATACATATTCTACCAAATTGGGTTTATTAACCTTAATTAACCTGGATCTGCAATATGCTATGTATTGTTGAGTTCTGTGTGGTGAGCAGCGCTGTGGGCATGGCGCCTCTCCTTGCAATCTCACACGTCACCAAAAAAAAAAAAACTGCCAGCAGTCCACTTTCAAATGAGATTGCTGATTAGTTCAGCGCCAAGTGATCTAAATGTAAAATTATTGGGCTCCCTGATTTATGAAGAGTACTGTGAGGTCAGATAATATGTCATTATAGGCCGCAGGCAAATTTCATTATCTGGCAAGTCTCAAATTATTTCTTTAAGCATAAGTCTGCTCTTAAGCTTCATTCGTTGCTGAGCTAATAGTTATTTAAACCCTACTAGAGGATGATTTTTTTTAATGTTTCTGAAGTATTGTCAGATTGATGCCTTCAGGGTCCAGTGGGTGTGTCTGACTCTAGGAGGCAACATTTTGTTGTCACTTGATTAGTTTTACCTAAAACTACGTGAGGCTGTCACAATAAGCAATAAATCAATTAATCGCATGATCAATTAAAATGAGCACGAAAAATAGATGTTCCCCTTTAATATCACTGAAACGTCATTTTGAAGAACGCTGCAAACATTTTGGTCTGCACTACCTGCCACTTTTGCCTGTTTTCCCTGTCTAAGCTGAATGACCATTTCATTTTTGATTACAGAGACTTCATAATCCATTTTATTTATTGTTGTCTCATTTTGTGTTGTTTTATTTTGTATATTTAAAATGTTTTCCAGTTTAAGTGTTAAATGTTCTTTAGAAATGAATGATTTTTTTTTTTTTTGGGGGGGGGGTTTATTTAGTGTGCTGGTATTATTATGTCATTGTTATTATATTAGTTGAAAATGGTCTCAAATTATTTGTTTATCGCAATAATTTCTGGTACAATTTAATGCACAGCAAAATTTGTTATCATGGTAGGCCTACAACTATGTGCAGTTCAGGTCAGACTTTTTACATCACCATATTTTATGTATTTTTCTTGTACTATCGAACCAATGCTTCATTTATACAGCATCCAGCTTCTATGCAAAGTTAAATCAAGACTAAAAACCCATCTGTTTAGAGCTGCATTTGATTCATAAAAAATGAGAACATTGATCAAAATATCTGATGTATATTGTTTGATGTTCTTGAAAAAATGTAATGTTTATTACTTGTTTGGTAATTGGCTACTGGATTATGTTGTTCTCGTGTAGAGAAGTTTGAACTGCCTTGTCGCTGAAATGTTCACAAATACATTACAGGTAAATTAGACTTAAAGTTGAAGAGACATAATTGGAAAAGAAAAAATATTGACCTTTATACCAACACTGACAGAAAGTACATTTGAATGGTTTAACTTTTTCATTAAAAAATACTTTTGGCCTT